CTAATTCTTATGGTTGTGAAACTTTTACAGCAAATTCAATTATCATTTCTTATCAGTTAATACATTAAATAAGATGATAAAACAAGGCTGTTTAAAATTTTTTGAAAATTTGTGACCATAAAAAAAGAGTGGCAAATTAAAATAAAAAAGAAAATGAAAATAACATACAGATTTTATGATAAGAAAAATTTTGAGAATTATTTGATTAATATATTGATAGTAGTTTTAACATTTTTTGTAAAAAAAAAAAACTTTTTTAATAAAAAAAAAGGAAAGAAAAGTTAGAAGACAACAAGTTTTGAAGGAATTTTCTTTTTTTTTTTTGTTTCATTGCGAAGAAATTAGCGAAAAAAGAAGTAATCGTAAAAAGAAATATTAGAAATTTTAGTATCAAAAATCTAAAAAAAAAAAAAAAAAAACTAATAAACTGTTTTTATTGTTCGAAAATTAATTGCTAATTACATTATTATAATTACAAAAAATTAAAAAAAAGAACTATTTTAAGAACAATTTTATTCATTTATTTTTTAAACGATGCAATTAATAATTGGAAAAAAGGGAAAAGTTGTCGAAGTTTTAGCATTTATTATAATTAAAATTGAAAATTTTCTTATGTATTTGAAACATAATTATTAATTACATTATTAACCTAAAAAAAAGAAAATTTTATACTCTTTCATCTATCAATTCAATTTTAAATTAATTTAAATTACCATAGTAGGAATTAATAATTCAATTAGTGTTAAAATTAATGTTGAAATTGAAATGGAAATAACTAATGACTAATGGTAGCAAAATTTTAGAAATATTAACTGTAATATTAAAAAGATACATTAAATCGTATTTTATGCCTTTTTTTTATATAAAAACAAAATATTCAAAATTGAAAATAAATTTTTTTTAGAAAGAAAAATTAATTGAATTGAAAATCTTTAGATTAAAAGGATGAAATTTTGTAAGTTCTGCAAGATATATTTTTATAATGCTATGTCATAATTTGATATTGCATCTAGTTTTTTTAAGCACAATTTGAAAAATTTGCCAAATTTTGAGCATATTTGAAATGCTATAAAAAAATTTCATAAATTTGTTATATCTAAAAAGTTTTTTGGTAATTCAGAAATTGAAAAATATATTAATAGGAAAAAAAATAAATTAGTTTTGAAAAATCTATCAAAATTTTAACTTTTTTGAAGTGTTATTCATATTTTGATAAATATGGTGTAATTAAAAAGTTTTTAATAATTCAAAATTTAGAAAAAAAAATTGAACAATAGTTATGGATTACTGATAGAATAGATTATATATGAAAATAAATGTTTTTTAAATATACGACAGAAACCAATAAAATTAATTATTTATTTTATTTTAATTATTTAATTATTTTTGGATTAATCAAATGATTGATAAATATAAGGTAAACAATCAGTTTTATTTTTACTAAAACAATAATTATTAGTATTTCTGATTATTGTACTAATAATTCCACATTTAACGATTGCTTCATTGTTTCATAAAAATTCTAATAAAATAAATTAAATTAAAAATAAATTAAAAGATGGAAAAGTAAAAGATTTTATGTACGTATCATTATCGAACCATTTGCGCTAATTTATTGCCAATTGTCTCTTTAAAAACTTCAGAATTTTCAAGTATTTATTATTATTTATTGTTAGCAGCTAATAATTCCTTTTCTTTTCTTTATAAACTAATTCTTAAAAAAGCTTTTGTTTAAATTCATTCAAAAGCCATTTTTCGAAAAAAAAAAAACTACCTTTTATGGTATTTGAAACGAATGGCAAAGGTTTTAAATGAATTTAAAGAAATTGAGAAAAGAAGTTAAAACAAACAATAGTGCTACTATTCATATGAAAAATATACTTTATTTTAATTAAGTTTATTTATCATTTAATTGATAATTTAATTTTACAAATGGCACATAGAATAAATATGCAAAAGTTTATAGAATGCATAAAAATTTTTAAAAAATTGAAATATGCTACATAATTATGATAAATTGAAACAAACAATAGTGCTACTAATTACAGCGTTTTTGTTTGTTTTTATTTTTTTTTACTTCTTTTCATTAACTTTTGAAATAAAAAAAGAAGCATAAACCTTTTTAATAAATATTATTTATAGAATTTTTATCCAAAATTTTTTCAAAAATATTAATAACACTAACAATGCGATCAAAGATGATAGAAGGAAAATGAAAGGAATGAAATGAAGAAATTCACAATAATTCATTGATATTTAAAAAGATAGAAATAATTCTTGTTGGAACAAATTAATGCTAATTTTTGATTTCATCAATTTTCAAATATTTTAAATTAGAAACATTAAAATGATTTAAAGTTAACATACAGGAAATTTTCCATGTATGATATTTTTGCGCAAAATTCATTTCTTTTTACAACTATTTGCTCATTCCTCTTTTTTTTCTTGAAACCTGTTTGCTTGTTTCATTAAATTGAAATTAGCGATTGAAATTAGTGATTATTGCAAAAAAAAAAAAATTTGAATAAAAGAATGCAATAATGAACAAAATACGATTAAATAGACGAAAAAAAAAACATCATTTGTATGTTTTCCATCCTTTGCAAATAGTTAATAATTAATTGATTTTAATTATAAAACATTAAAATATGCTTGCCGAAAGTTTCATCAACTTTAAAGATTAAAGTTAAAATAGAAAAATTTGACAAAAAATAAAAAAAAAAAACGATTATATTTGAATGATTGAAATATCTTCCAATCATCATCCAAGTTTAACAATTTTTAATTAAACGATCATAGATAAATTTATAGTTGAATGAACAAAATTATAAAAGGATAAGAGAAAAAAATTCTTTTTTTTTCTTTGCTTTTTATTTATTTAATACATTTCTGAAGAAATATATTAAATCTTTTTAGTGTTAAACATTAATTGGTAAATTTAATGAAATTAATGATGGCATCATTTGAAAATTTTATTGAGATCATTTCTGTAATTTTGTTTTCTTTTTTTTTAATTTTCAATTTTTTTGAGCATAATGGCACGATTACAGAATATTATATTTTGTGCATTTCAGCAAAATTATAAATGTGATTTAAATGAGTTTTCATTCAAAATTAAAAGAATTGAAAAGAGAAATGAACAAGATTCAAACAAGATTCCGTAACATCTGTATATCCCTGATTTCTCGATAATATACTTTCATTAAGCTATTTATATGATACATTTCTTAAGTATTAATACCATTACAATCAAATGAAAGCAATTTTCAAATGACATAATCGCATTAAATCGAGAGTTTTAGGGAATGAAATGTTAAATAGATTAGGACAAATGCGCTCTTGTACAAATCGTTTATATATAAAATTTTTTTTTTTTTGACCACTTCCACTTTGATTTAATATTCTGGTTACGACCGTTCAATGAATTGTATTATTAGAAATAGCAAACCTGAATTATAACAAGTTTGAAGTGTTAAAAAAAAGTTATACAAAATGATACATAAATTATTTTAGTTCTACTTTTTGAACTGTAATAAAAGCAATTGTAGCTTAACCAATCTTCAATTAATTATGGTTTAACCTTGGCAGTGTAAATTTTTCATTGCTACGTTTTTTTTTTTAGGAAAAGCTGCAATTGATCACAACTACAGAAATAATTTTAATATTACAATGTGTGAATCATCATATATTCTTTATTTTCCACTAACCTTGAAAATCTATGCTTTTCGTCCATTTTCTAAATTTATCATTTTTCGAAGAGAAATTTCCTTGCGATGAAATTTCATCGCGATAATTTCATTAGGAAGAGAGAAATAACCTTTTTGACCTCTTAGCTTTTTCTTTTTTTTTAAATACATCTATGAATATGCAATATAAGAACGAAATCATAATGGAAATTCATGAAAGATTGATGCTGAAATATTCAATGTGTAATTTAATTTTATTAATTTGAATATCAAAATTCATGACCACCATCAAAAATAACTGTTATTCACATTTGTAACTGTATAATGGATTTCCAAAAAAGAGAAAAAGAAATGAAAAATGTTCAAAATCGAAAATCGATGGACAAAGATGAATCATTCATATTAATTAATCAATTAATAATCAATTAATTTGATTCATTCATTTATTACATATAGCTAGTGTAATTTCCAAATTCATTTAATTATACAAAATGAATGATTACATTTGAATGTCATTCATTTGATAAATGATAAAATAATATTGAATTATCGAAAATTATTAATGATAATAATGATTAGATTTATTATTAGAATAATATTAGAGTGATATTATTCTGATAGAAGCAAAAGCATTCACAAGAAATCTTTTTTTTGATGAATACAAGAATATTAGGAGAAATTGAGAAATTAGTGAAAACTAAGAGGTAATTGAAGAGAAATATAAATGGATTAGTAGAAACAAAAAAAAAAAAAAAATTTTTTTAGGAAATCGAAAAAAAAGAGGCAAATATCTTTGATAGTTATTTTTTTAAACTCATTTTTATCATTTCAAATTCCATTATGTTATCAATAAATAATTTATCGATAATTCTGATCGTTGGTTACAAATATGTTCATATATGATATTATTCATCAGTTTTTTGAAAAATATCACAAAAACTTTCCAATTTGATAATATATTGTCAGAGAAATTAGCTTCGTTGTTAATCATTTTACACTTACATCATTATTGATAAGTGACGTTTCACGTTAACTTTACCTGCAAAATGTAACTCACGTCCGTCAATTTCTTTTCCGTAGAGAAGGAGAGAGAGAGAGAGTAGTAAACGTAATTATCAAACGAATTGATCGCTGAGAAATAATGGATGGGCCGTGTAAAAACTTCATATATTGTTAGGGTGAGCAATGCGGGAACGATGAATTGAAATTGGAAGTTATTAATTTCTCGGGGAAATTTATTAAAATGTCTAATTTGATTATAATTTTTCAGAGTGATACCCTAACTATATGGAATTTGGTAAAAACTGAGAAGAAATGGTTGAAAATTATGCGATAGAATTGAAAAAATTGGAATTAGGTATTGAATAAATTATTTCACTCCATTTTTCATAAAAGTAAAAACGATTTCTAGGTGTTAGAGTTATATTATGAAATTTGTTTGCACCGAGTTACATTTAATTCATAATATAAATAATTACAAGTTTCATTTTTTGGTTTAAAAAATGAATTTTATTCAATTAACTGTTTATTATTATTTTTAATTTTTAATATTGATTTTGTTGAAGTACACGAGACGAAATATTCTATATCTACATGTTTTCATTTATAAAATTGGAATTTTACACCAAATTATTTAATGTATTTTTTGAGGTCTTAATTTACACGAGCATCAAATTCTTGGTGTTAAACATATCCTTCAATGGTACAATGAGGGACACGGTGGAATTATTGCCGATGAAATGGGCTTAGGTAAAACGTGTCAAGCAGTTAGTGCTATCGTTTGCTTGCTTAATGATAATAAAACCGGACGGCATATGGTTATTTGTCCACTTTCGGTCCTCCAACATTGGCAAAATGAACTGTCCAGGTTAATTTTGATATTCCATTTATTACTTTATGTTTTTTTTTGGTACAGTTTGCATACTTTTTTGTATTTTTTTTCCAAAGTCTGAATGTTTTAGGCGACATTTTTCTGAAGTAAATGTGATGTAACAATTTTAATTGCTATCATTAAATAATCACTAATGAAAAATTTTTGCTTTTTAACTGGACCTCTTTTTTTTAAAAAAATTTAGGGTTTGTGTTTAAGCAGCAAAATTTCCAGAAGAATAAGAACATCTAGAAATCCATGAATAAAAAAAAGTATGTGATTGTGATGTTTGCTTGCCGTTTCATGCGCGTTCCTTGAGATTATGAAAAAGAAAAAAGCATGCAACATTAACTCAAGCAATGACAGGTTTTAGATTTGGACTTGGGAAACTTCGAATTCTAACATATATTGGAAACAGTGATGCACGGAGAGTGATTCGGGAAAAGTTGCAAAACTCCAAAGATTGGAATGTTTTAATTACAACCTATGAAGTATGTCTAACACAGTTATATTTTATCCACGAAAGATTTTAAAGATATTCTTTCATATGAATCATATTATCCAACAAGAATAACTTTTTTATAGATGGTGATAAATGATGAGCAGTATTTCCATTGGTCGTGGTCATCATTATTTATCGATGAAGCACATCGTTTAAAATCAAGCAAATCTATTCTTCATCAAATTGTTCGCAAGGTGTGAATTTCTTTTTCAGCTTTCAGTTGTATTTTTAGTGAAGTGAAAGGACTTCTAGTTTAGCAACTTTTTTCTTTTTAGATGTCTGTGGAATTTATGGTATTAATGACGGGAACACCTGTGCAAAATAATATTAATGAACTTTATTCATTACTCTCTTTGATTGATACGAACAGGTTTCCGCTTCTTGACGAACAGCAATTTGTTGCGAAATATCGCAACACATATGACAGTAATGGATTTTTAATAAAATGCTTTTTGAAAGTGTTCAGAATTTGAAATTTTTCACAATATGTCTTGTTAAACGGACATATTTTTTATTGAATTACTTACCTTTTGCTTTGGTGTTCTCTCTTCTTTACTCTTCTATCATCAGTATAAATAAGATTCTTTCCTTCAAATATATGCATCTTAAATTTGACTTTTTTCCAAATAATTATTAAATCCTTCTCATGTAGATACTTGAATTAGGCGATAAATTCAACTTATCATTAAAAGTGAGCAAGAATTTTTATTATAGCTGTTGCGGAACTTCAGCATATGCTTTCCAAATATCTTATTCGTCGAACAAAGCAGATGTTACGTATCAAAATTCCGGATAGTTCAGAAGTTTTATTATACCATGGAATAACTGAAATGCAAAAGAATATATATCGTGCAATATTGAGGAAAAATTATCGTTCGTTAATTTCATCATAATCGTCATTAACCAAAATTATTAGACCTATTAACGCTTTGCTTACGTATTATTGAGATAACATATTTATGATTTGTTTATAGTCCTATCTCCAATCAGATTCATCATAATTTCGAGTATTTATTGATTTTACCAATTGTACTGTTTGTTTTAGATGGAAGAAACATGCTTGTCTTTTAACTGAAAGTATAAATTGATGTGATATTTCATTTTCAGAATATTTTAAGAATGTGGATGATAAAAAAAGTGAGCACGCTGGCAGCAAATTATCATTGCTTAATGTGTTGATGCAATTACGAAAATGTGTTGCTCATCCTTATCTTTTCGACGGTGATTTTTGATTTTTAGTGTGGTTATAATAAATCCAATGAACTCGATGAAAATGGATATTTTAATTAGGATTTAAAATAATAGAAGCTCTTTATGGTTTTTTTTTGCAAGAATTTTCTTATCCGTCCATGAATGATTGATTCTATTAGCCTCATACAATTGTTATGATTTATTTTACAGCTATTAAAATACTCGATATTTTTACAGTATTCGTTATCTACTTAAATGATTCATTTTGCAGGTGTAGAACCGGAACCATTCAAAGAAGGTGATCATTTATTTGAAGTAAGCGGGAAATTCGTTTTACTGGATCGTTTGCTTACATTTTTGTTCGCAAAAGGCCATCGTGTACTTATTTTTTCGCAAATGACTCATGTGCTTGATATTACACAGGATTATTTGGTATATAAAGGTAATACCAAATTATTGTAATTAGCAAATGATTTAGGATAATTTGGAAGACAACTTTAGTGTTATAAGGAATTAAGGATTCCGCTTCTGTTTGTAAAAAAAATCAAGTTGCAATGTTTTAAAAATATTTTAATTGCAGTTTTAAAGATTTTTAAGAAAAAATTTTTTTTGAATAGGATATAATTACCAACGCTTGGATGGAAGTGTAAGAGCCGAGGAGCGGTTTGCCGCAGTAAATCACTTCCAAACTAATTCCGACATATTCTGTTTCCTTTTGTCAACTCGAGCTGGAGGCCTTGGATTAAATCTAACCGGTGGTGATACGGTGATTTTCCTGGATTCGGATTTCAATCCACAGAATGATATTCAGGCTGCAGCGAGATGTCACCGAATCGGACAGACGAAGTTTGCTGTTGCAAATATTGGAGATTCCAATAATCCTTGAAATTTGAAAATTTAATTAACTAGTAATGAACTGTTGACTTTGATTAAACTTTTTTTCGTTAAAATTTCTTTTTAGCTATTTTTAATTTTTAGTTAATTATTAGAAGCATCAAAGTTTTTATCGTAAGAAATTACTTTTTCAAGACCAGTGAAAATAATACGTTTGGTTGCGCGTTACACGGTGGAAGATATGATACAGTGTCGTGCAGCTCGGAAACTTAAAATGACTCAAGAGATTTTGGAAAAAAACAATGATGACAGTAAGTCAACAATTTCTGTAAAGCTTAATTTCTGTGAAGCTAAACTATGATGAAAAATGTGAAATATTTTAAATTGGTTACATTGAATTCGTTGGCTTTTGTTTAGGAAAAGAATTAACATTTGCGGAAATTTCCGACTTGATAATAAAAGGTTTGAATCGATTGAGTAATGAGAAAATTGATTCCGAAGAATTAAATATGGAAGCGATTGAAAAATTGATTGGTAGAACCGATGAAAATGGTCACTGGATTTATGATGGAGAAGAACAGGTTGTGATTAGTATTAGGTAGAAAAAAAAAGTAGTTAATGAAAGAATTTGCAATAAAAGACATGGTACATGATACCTCCCATAAATTAGAATTACCGCTGTTTAAGTTGTTGAATAGCGTTAGTTCATTTTGGAATATAATAATGACTAAGATAACCTTATTGTCTACGTAGCTAAATTCTTGAGAAATAAAACTTTCAAAGTGTTAGATTTAACTTATATTTTATTGGTAATAGTTTAATTCTCATGGTAATCCAAATTTTCATTGTTTTTTTTTTTTTTTTTCATTGTTTTCTTTTTTTTTTTTTTTTTTTAAGATAAAAACTATATTGCAAACTATACTTTTGATAACAACAATTTAAGGCATGTTTTACTGTTAGAAAAGATACATGAAGTATATGATTGCTTAGACACAAATGCTTAACGAATTTATTATAGGATTCCAAAAAACGAGAATCTGTGAAGAAAGAAAGCGATATACCGGAAAATATATACATCTTTGAAGGACATGATTATAAACAAGATGTTGCAGTTCTGCAGGATATTTTAAGTGAATCGAAAACCATGGAACTAGTGAAAAATACGTCGGTTAAAGAGTGTAAGTATCTGAAATCTTTCAAATTTGTAGCACAATAATTTAAACTTGTAGTCTTACGATATGATAATAGGATCATCATGAGATCCCATTTCTATGTAATTCATTCTTTTGTTTATTTGTTCTGTTTACTGATTAATTATAATGCTGAGCGGATGATGTGATTATGCAGCAGTATTGGGCTATTTCGTATACTTTATGTTTTATTTACTGATTAAGACTTTGAGCTTGACTTAATAAGAAATAAATTGCAGCAAATAGTTAGGTAATTTATCTTTAAAGCTCGTTTGGACGGTTACTCACAATCACTGATAATAACCGTTGACAATGCACTGATATTTGAACATTTAAAAAATTTTTAAATATGAATTGTTTGCCATGCTAGCTGTCAATACTGTCTTTTGCACTAATTTATTAAGAAACTAATATAGTGCAACAAGGGAGCAGTGATATACTTTTATGTCATTTGTTAGCTCTACCTATTGAAAGACGAACACGGAAGCCAATATCGAAAGAAGAAAATGAGAAAAGAGTCAAAAAACGAAAAGAAACATTAGAGCGGAAGAAAAGGTTGAGAGAAGAGGAAATTGAGCGGAAAAGAAAAGAACAAGAAGCAAGAAAAGCAATGAAATGGCTCAAAAATAGTACGTTTTCACTACTGATATTCTTCTCGAAACTTTTTATTATAAAATGGTAGAGAATCCTTAATCATTATGTTATACATCCTTGCAAATTTTGGAATGATTTCTTGCATCCTGTAAGGTTTCATCATTTTAGCTATTTTATGGAAATACTTGTGAAATTTTATTATCTTCGAATTTAGATTACAAAAGTAGCTCTTTACCACTTCAAGAAATGCATGACATTCAACATGGTGATAGTAGCACAGATTTTGGACCTCATTTCGTCTACGGTAGTGTTACAGATACACTTATAGCTCCCAATGACAATTCAAATCATGCGCTTATCGTTCATGTTGTGGATGATAGCGGTAAATTGTTTAATTATTTTCTTGCAAAAATTGAAACGTAAGTTTTTAAATTACTTTATACGGTTTTGTTTTGTACTTTTCCACAATATAATGTATTTATTTTCAGGCTTGTTTGGTCATGGCGGTGTTTTTGATGTTCTAAGAAGAAAGAGCCAACAAATAGTAGATAGGTACGAACTAGCAGGGAAGATGGATGATTTGCATGTTGGTGATGCACATCTTGTTGAGGATATTGCTGATGACTTGCCTGTAACTCTTCGCAAGCATGAATGTATTTTTTGATGACTTACTAGCCTTTATATTCATCATTAATTTTTAAGTAATAAATATATGAAGTTTGTTTTCCGTCCTTATTCTACCAGTTTTTTTTTTCTTTTTTTGCCTTTTTCTTACGAAGGAAGATTTAAGTAGTAACAATGACAAGTCTTTCATTGTTTTGATTAGTCAACATAGAATTCAATTTCTTAATTTCTTTAGTATTAAAAATTATCTTGTAGCATTATTTAAGAACATCATTTGAAAAAATCAGATAAATGATTTCGAATTCATTTTAAATAACTTTTTTCTCTGTAAGAATGGCTTTTGTTGATTTAAATTCGGACTTCTATCCTTGTGATAATAAATAATTATTAGAGATTTCATCAATTTACTGAAATTCTTAACTCTGATGAGTAGTTTTTCGAAGTTTTCTTCGAATGCTTTAAATATTTGATATTAATTTTGCTTTGAATTACTCAACGTTCTTTTCTTTTTCAGGTGAACGATCAAGGAATAATATCGATATTGATGAAGCTGAGCAATCCACATCTAAAACTTTTCCTCCTCGGAGGAAACTTTCTGTAGTCCTACTAGTAGCACAAGATCATCGTAGAAGAGGTTTGTTTGTGATAGAAATTCAGCATTTCAATCAAATTCCATACTTTTGAGAATTTCAAGTCCGTTTTTCTTTTTTTTTTTAGTTTCTATTCATTACGAAATCGTAGAAAAAAATTTTTGTTCACTGAGAAATATCAGGAAAAAGTATAATTTTTATTCATTGTTATATCATATCAACTTTTTTTCTTCACCAATACTTAAACATTTTTGTTAACAAAAGCATTTCAGAGCTAGTCGCAAACTAATAAAATACTTCACAATATTTTATTTTATAGGTATAATTGACCAAGATATTCTGACAAAATGTCTCAAAAAACTCGCATTTTATGCGGTGAACTCGAATATCTTAAGTGTTCATATGCCACGAATTGGTTATGATAAGCAAAATATTAGTTGGTATGCAGTCGAGCGACTTATTAATCGCATTCTTGTTTCTAAAGGCATTCACACTTACATTTACTATTTTAACCGGAGAGTGAACAATACAACTGGTAGTATCATCTTTATTAAGTTTTTAAAGTTTTTTTTTTTCAAGTTTCATAAATTATAAATTCAAAACTTATGAATAATTCATTTATTAGATTAATTGATGTTTATTTGGAACACTTCATCACACTTTAATTTTGATTTAGTTTAACTATTTGAGCCGAAGAGCGAACATTGTGCCAGGGAAAAAAGAGTAGATTCTAGTTCTTACTTAATTCTAACACTCTTTGCCAATATAATGAAGGAAAGGGTAGTAGGATAGGAGTTAACATCTTGAATTTGAATATTAATTAATATTGAAGATGAAATGTTACATTAAAAAAAGCAAATAAAAATTACTTTATAGGTAGAAACATAAACAAAGCTCCAAAAAAGAAGCAGAAATTTTTACCGCTGAAAAAAGGCAGGATGAATGATAAAGCTGGAAGTGACTTTGAAGTAAACCGTTTTAATCATTTTGATGAACAGTTAATGATTTCCTGAAATAATGTTTCATGATTTATGCTTGTTTATTTTGGACTAAGGAATTTCCATACTTTTTTTATCGTAACTTGTTCTGTGTTGACTTCTTTGAATCCCAAAATGTAAAAATGACTTCTTGATAAATCATAGATCTGTTTTTCTACGATTTTCAGGAAATGAAAGGAGAAGATATGGAACAAGCAGAAAAATAGGAAGATAAAGAATCTAGTGCATAATTTTGTTTTTCAGCAGATGGAAACAGTCAAATAATACGGTTCAAATAAAATAATGAAGAGATATAGCATATTTCATAACCAAAGTTAAAATTTGTTAAGTTCAAAAGCAGAATTAAACTTTCACTATTATTTGCTTGGCTTTCTTTAGTTTTCCAAGGTTGCATGATATTGGAATAAATGATAATTTTACAGCATATCAAATTCTAGAATTTAATGTTATATTTATCTAAAATTTTTCTATTGTTATTAAGTTTTCCAATTCAATCAAATTCTCTTGCTAAATTGCTAAATTACGATATTCAATTATCATTTGTGAAATTAGCTTAAATAGAAAAGTAGAAAAGTGAATTCCTCACACATCCTATTTCGCATAAGAACTACAAAAATTAATGTAAATTTAAAATCTTCTGCACTCTTTGCTACTGCCTTCAATTTATGATTAATTTCCAATTTGCCTTGTCCTATCTTTCATTTTTTTAATGCTTTAATGCAGTGTTTTTGTACATGATCTCACTAATTTGCTGTATATATTCTGTCTTATATTTTGCATTTCAGTTATCTTTTTCAATGTTTGGGTTTCCAAAGCTGTGAGGAAAATTTAATTTCTGTTCGAGAAACCACAATTAGTTCAATCAGAAATCTTCCGCTTATTTCTGCTTTCTTAAAATAATGAAATTTTTTTTTCCACGGTGATTAATTTCATAAAAGATGGATATGACAGTTGTAGTCTATGAAATTACTACCAATATAAGAAACATGGAAAACTACTTGCTTGTATTTTTTTTTTTTATTATTATTGACGAAAATTTTGGATTTCTGGTTGAGGAATTAATAAACGATTTTATGAACTATCTGTGATTGAGTTTCTGCAACTAATCAGAAAACTTAATTTTGGCTTAATTTAAATTTGCTAAATACTTTGCAAAAATCAAATTAATAAATGGTAAAATGTCTTTTTGCCTTTGTGTACTATTTAAGTATGGATGAAAGGCCAATAATGAAATCTAATCACACAAGTACTGATGAAAATTTTATTTCTAATTGAGATAATTTTTCGTATGATTTTCTAATATAATTTTATACAAATTAAAATGGTAATTGCTAAGTTTTTCTGAGATTTCCTAATATTTCTTGTAAAAATTCGCTATGCAAATAACAAATTTTTAAATATATACGAAACTGGTTTTTAGTATTATTATTCATTTTACGATTGAATGAAATTTTAGCAGCGGTTCGGTGAGATCTAATAATGAAATCTAATCACATTCATTCTTTCTCAGCTTTTTTCCTTGCTTCCATAATTTTACCTAAAGCAAACAAATGCTATAATTTAATCTAGCAGATGTCTTATCAATCCACCAACAGAATTTTTGCGATAAGCAACGTTGTCAATCATTAACTGTTATCAGTCAATTACTCAAAATTATTGAAACTTAAAAGTTATCAAAATTGGTTATGTAAATTATTTGGATTTTATTCTTGCAACAAATTATTTGACAGTCTAAATTGAGACGATGTCTACCTATTGAAATATTTCTGTATAGTTCTAATAAATTTTACCTTAAATATGATATTCTCATAATCAGCTATGATTTCAAGAAATTATTTAACACTTCAACTGATTGCTGTATATACATTTGCTCATATGCTATAGAGTTTATACAATTTGCAGAATTATTAAAATATGAAAAAGTTTGAAATGTTATTTAAATTCTATGGAGAAGAAAAAGAACAATTGTTAGAAACTTGAGAAATTTTTTTGAAATTGTAACTTTTAGAAATTGTATGAAAAACTTTGGTTAATAATTTTTCCCTTTAAATACTACCATTTTCTGTTTCACATTTAGATTCAAATTTGGTGAAAAATCAGGATTCCATCTAGCTAAAGAATATTTTTTTGCGATTTGATTTTACGATATTTCTTTTGCAGTCATTTAATGAATTATTAATTTCCTATTTGTTTTGCCGTTAAATCTTCAAATACTTTTAGATATATTACAATAAAAAAAATACCTAAATATTGTATTTACATCAAAAAATTGCCGTTTCTTAAAAAAAAACTAAAAAAATTTCGATTTTTTTTTTTCATTCCTATATTGTTTGAATATTTATTTGTATTGATGAAGTGCTTTGAAGAATTTGCAATGAAATGAAGCTTTTTTTTTTGAAAAGCACTACAATTTGAAGTTTAGTCAGTAACAGTTTCCAGCTATTAGCCATTGGGTATTTGTTTGTTAATTTGATTTGATGAAATTTGATTCCATTTTATTTTGCATTTTCTTATTTTTAATTCCAATCTCTTTTTTAAAAAAATCTACGATAATTTCTTTTCATTCTTTTATATTATTTTATGACATATCGTTACTAATAGCAATATTGTATGTAAATAAAAAATTAAATTTGAAAAGATTACGAAAATATCAAATAAATTTTAATAACGAGAACAAAGAAATATTGCATTTTAGTTTTTTAAATTATAAAAATTAAAAATTTGAAATGTACATATTATGAGCAAAACTTGTGGAGTGTAATGCGAAATAAAATATAAAAATTTATTTGATAATAAATTTTAATGCTTTTGGCAAACATAAAAAAGGTTTCTTTCTTTTTCATTTTCTCCAAACTTGCAAATATTAGTAAACGTATAAGATAAAGGGAACTGGAAAAGAAATGAAATAATTATTTTCTGATAACAAATGATACCTTTTTCTGCAAACATATTATTAAGGAATAAAAAAATAAAAATTTAGGATTCATAAAGAAGTTTTTTTTTTTTTCTTCTCAGTTTAAATTACAGAACACAGTTATTATTTGCTATTTGAATTAACAGAAATTTTTCTTGTCATTATCATTATTTTTAATCATCATGAATTTTTTTTTAAATAACTTCTTTTAGCTTGATTAATCATTTTATCAGCCTTTCTTTGCTTTCCACACAATAATCAAATGGAAATTGACTACCATTTCATTCATTATTTTTTTTGAATTTCATTTAAAATGATTGACTAGATTTAACAATTTCGCATATTTGCCGCCATTTTGGTGACATTTGCATGAGTTTAAAGTTTTGCTACTTAGTGAGATTTTGTTGATTAATGGAGTGGAGGTGGTGCAGGAAGTAAGCATTTGTCTACTTTTTGATATCATTTATAGAGTTATCAGTTGATTCAATTTATTCTTATTATTTTCTTTTTCTCTCTCTCTCTCTCTCTCTCCCTCTCTCTCGTAATTCTGTTTTTTCTTTCCTTTCTTTTTTCTTCTCTCATCTTCTGTTATTTTTGCAAAATGAAGTTATATCAGCACGGCTATTCTTTCCAATCCACTGTTTCCATGAATCATAGCAATACTTGTTATCTCGTACATTTCCTGTTTCTCTTATTATTTCCTCTTTGGTTGTGTTTTCAGCGATTTTGAACTTCTCTCTCTTTCTCTTTCTCACCTTTTCTATCAATCGTCAAAAATGTTTTTGAATTATCAGTTGTCCATTGTCCACTAAAAGCAGATGAAGGAGTGATATAATAGTGAGACACGTAGTGATGTAATTTTCCAGTTGATATTAGCGAGAATATCGTTAGGAGGCGATCAGTGCTTAATGATTTAATTGAATCATCTGTCACAAAAAGAAAATTGTTTATGGAAATGACTTTGTAGTGTGATAAGGATTTGGAAAATTTTTATCTAGTCACTGGTTTTTGTTAGCAATGAATAGTTAAGGTACTCTTTGTAGTGATATGATGTCATGTTAAATATTTTGAAATCGAATAATTTTCGGATAATCTTATTATTCTTATTAAAAGAGAGAATATAGGAATGAGTATTTTTCCTCGTCGCTTGTGAAAATTTCCGAATATTCTAGCTTTTAGATTTTCTGACATATAAAATTATCAGCGAGCCATTTGCAGATTGTACAACAACGACAAATGAGTAGCGACACGAAATATTTTGTTCGTTTACGGATCGGGCATAAGTAAGTTTATGAAAAACTAAAAATGCTAGTGATTTTTTGATAAAATTAAGTTTAAAAAAAAAGAAAATAAATCGTGGTGTTAACGTAAATATTGTTTTAATGGTTAGGTAATAAATACTGAAAAATTGGAGCTGTTCCTTTAAAACTTAATTTTATCAAAAACTTCAGCGAACTCTTTAAGACAATAATGAAGTTGTCTTTAACATAAATTTTTTTTTATGTGCAAAAAAACTGTTTCGCTATATATTAATTAAAGAATTCTCTAGTGAGCTACTGAGTGTTTATCGGTTAAAAAGGTTGAATCAGATGTTTGTATTTCATCTATAAAAGTTGAAAATATATGCAGTAGAAATTCCTGTCGGTATTATTTCCGCTTTTGTATGCAATTGTCGTCATCGGCTCAACACTACTAAATACTATTTTGAAGAATGAATTTAAATGATTGAGACAGTTGATCACCATTCAATTTAACATCCTTTTGATTCACTATTTGAGAATGCTTCCTAATTTCTTCATTAAAAATACATTCAGATCCGAAATGCTCGATCGTCCAACATCGACTGGCATGACTCATAGGTGGACAGTATTTGTACACTCCTTCAGCGGGATGCCATTTACGGATCGCAGTTTTATTTCAAAGGTTGCTTTTTGCCGCTGCACAAAAGTTTTTTGCATATATTACGTTGTACTGGCGAAATCGTAGTAATATTTTGAAAAAAAATACAAATAAAGAAATTTACACTATGAGTTTACATTTCAAGTTGGAAAGAAAAGATTTATATTGAAGAACTGTTGAAAACTCAAAAATTCTTAATGTGCAAAAGTTTCTGAAACTATCATGGAAGATTAGATTTGTTAAAAAAAAATTCGCAAGTCGCGGATCCTATTAGCTGGAGATATGTAGTTGGAAACGAAATTCAAAATTAGTGGTTTTTTGATACTTCAATGAAGCTTTACAATTAGTCATCATTTATAGGTTGTGTTTGAATTGCATCCCGATTTTTCGTCT